AAAATGCCCGATTAAGTAGGACTGTTGGGAACAGGCATGAGGGATGAAAGCTGAAGTGATTTAGCCTGCAGAGTACTTTGAGCATCAGAGGAATGTCTACCTGAATTGCAGGGTCATTGCAAGCTTTGATTGACACGGCTTAACCCACCTACACACAATTTTGGTGTTTCGCTTCATCAATTGATGCAATAGCAGAACGTGTGTTAGATTACAAGTGACTTTGCTTCATTCTCTTCAGAGGAGGTTATAATGCGTGGCGTGAAGTCACAAACATTTCGGTCCGTTGCGAATACATAAGCGTAATTTCCACGCAAAACAAGAGTGATAGTAGTATTTTAGCTTATGCAGTTGAAAGAGACGCGATGGATCAGTGCAGCGTCACATCAGAGGCGACTGATTGTGATGAGGCAGGATGGCATTTCTCAACTCAGCGTGGAGTTGTATGTGAAGGCGCATTACCTTGTAGTGCTAGGACAGCCAACGATGCATCGAATGGATCAACGAAAGACTGGCGCCCACAAGTGCTACAGACCACGACGATCAACATAAGGAAAGGAATGTACCTCCGCATAAGGAATCACAAGTGCAAGAACTTCTCTTTGCTCAACGGGCTCCCTTAGTCTACTTCCTTTCATTCAACACAGTCTAACACCAGTCATATAAGAATGGCTGTGTTGTTGATAGTGGAATTTGAAAAAACAAAATTTGCTTAAAATGATTCAGGCAAGGTCCACTTTTGGAAAAATACCTACGATTTTAAAACAGATGATGACTATGTCTCAGGATTGTCTAGTATATAAAGTTTTGTGAGGCTTGCTGCGATAAATAATCATGATTATAAACCGTGGTTAACTATTGCCAGTTGCTCGGGTCCGGTTAAAATGAAGTGCTTCCAATGTGGCTGGGTGGCGCTTTTCTTGCATTGCGCCAACCTCACCAAGTCAACTACTCGACTTAAGCCGTCATAGGACACAGAGACACACAAATGAGGGAAATTGAGACGAATGCAAAGTAGCACCGAGCCCTCTTCCTCCTAAACCCACAATTCACTCGCGCTTTGCAGGATGTTCCATGAAGTGGTCATTGCATAAGGCATGTCTGCTTGAGTCTTGCAATCGCCTGCATTCGCAACCGCATAATTTTACCCTTCCTGACAGTTGTACAGTGCCAATGGAAACTTGAAAAAATATTACAACCTCGGGATCACACTTTTGCAGAAGCTGTAAATATGAAAATAAAGGGTAATTGTAATGGGCAGGTTGTGTGATGGCATGCGAAGATGGAAATTGGAGGCCATGATTCATTCTACACACTCATTCAATCGTTTTCATTGTGAATGGAAAAGCAGATTTGCCAAAACTTTCTTGAGTAACCTTAAATCCAGCATTAACAGCTTCATTTTTGGCAGCAAATTTGTGCCTTTTTAATGCGTGTCACACGATGACACGACACGATTATTGAAATTGACCCACACCTTCAACCGCCCATCAACCTTTACCATATGTCCTCGCAATTCATCCTCATTGCACGTAGCGGCTGGACATTCAGGTTGATGCAAGCATTGACGTTTGGAGGACTAAAGTTGTTTGCATGCATTGGACCACCACTGTAAGGAAATCACAAGCCTACTTATGTCCTGAAGCAACTGCAGTTCAAAAGTTGTGCCCCATTGCACTTGCAGCACTACACCCATCTGCATTACCGAAAGTGAATCAAAAATTGTAAGGGCAAGTCACACATTAACAAGATCTTATATTTGTTAATCCAAAGGTATTCACTATGAGAAACCACATTATTGTGGGGCAAGTATGCATGTTTGGCGACTGATGTAATCCCTGCTCCGTGGAATCCCGTAGTGGGAATGATTGGTTCGATGAACTCAAGATCTGCAGCCTAAAGCTGAAACAGTGGCTTCTCAATGTCACACTGATTATTTCAAAGATTCACCGGTAATCGGTGTGAACAAGAATAAAAAGTGGCAGATTTACAATAAAACTGAGCAACATAGTCGTTTGCATTGTCTCAAGATTGTTGGTGCAGTTTTATGTACTGCGATAAGTAATCATGATTATAAACCGTTGTTAACTATTGCTGTACATCTTCAAAGATTTTAGGATCAATGCACTTGTGATTGCATGCAGTCCTTGTCTCCTCTGTTCAATGGTCTCTTTGGTAAGGGATGTATTTGTTAAGAAGTAGTGATACTCCTTGATGGTCGATGCAAAAGGGATGTATTTGTTAGGAATTAGTGACAGCACTTAATGGGAATGCATTTTGCCTCCATTTTGAGTGATCGGTGGGACATCGAGACTTCTTACTGGTGACATGTAATGTGGTAGATTCCCGTGCTTGTGTGCTCTTCACTATTCGCCCAGAGGCTTACCTGCTCCACTTTTCTGTCAAGTTGGCACATTCACCTTCAACTCTGCTCCATGCGTTAGTTATCTTGAGTGGACAAATTCGCACTGCTATCCTTTAATCTGACTAGTGCGATGCTGCTTCTCCTGGAATACCAGTTCAACTATTTCGCAGATGCCTTAGTGTCCTTCCAATGTACAGCCAAATGACATATTTGAATGAAAGTATTCATCAGTAGGAGTTACTTGGTCTGCTTCTTGCTCTTCGTTTGGACAATAGTCGGCTTTAGAGGCAAATTTTTCTTATTATGTAGAGGTAATGCGTTCTCTCCTACCGCCAATGGCGCAAGTAAGCGAAAAAATGAATTCCTGATTCTCTCTCTCCTTTATGATTTCTTTTCCTTAGTCATGGCATCTCATTTAATTAAGTTGCTTTTCAAATAGCCTGTTTGTTGGGGTAATCCCAACTACCATCTGCCAACAACTTAAGCCCGAACATATCTGGCCATTATGGCTTACTATTTTTGTTTCTAGCAGCAAACAGGCAATTCTAGCATCCACCACTTCCTCATCTGCCCTAGGTTTGTCTCCAAACGAATTCATCTATTTTGCAGGTAGTGGTGTGACACGTGGAGAGGTAAATGACTGGCACTTGAAGAAGTGAGGATAAGGTGAGTGTGGAAGATGGGTCCAAGGTGGTACATTGCTCCCTCCTCCTTTCTTCCTCTCCTCTGCGCCTTTCCAGTCTCTCACGTTCCTTCCTTCCTTTTATTTGGTCACTGCTTGGTTTTGTATTGTGCAGTACCTCGCTGCCGATTTTCCTACGTCTTATTTTCGCATTATGCATTACGTGGAATGAGGTGCAAGGTGTTCCGTTTTGGAAGTGTGAGGAGAGCCTCGTCTTGCGACCTCAACGATTTATCCATTTTCCCTTAAACGATTTTAGCAAAATGACATCTGGCCTAATGAGGTGGCTCCTGCATCTCCGTGGTGAAATGATAGCTTGACAAGTGGACATCCTACTTACTTGGCATTTCAGTAGAGAGTGCAATCACAACTATACGAATGGTTGAAGTTATAATTAAATGAACTCTGTTTCATGTTCAAACAATATGAAACTGCACGATGGGTGCCTGCGGTGTGCATATTTTGACCTAAATGTCTGAGGAGAGATGATGGTCAGACAGGCCTGTCACCATGCGACCATTTGCTGTTTCCTCCAACAAATGGAATCGGAGCTCCTTCACAAACTCTGTCACACACAGTCTGTTTGCTGCCTCGCTTATTTGCCGTCACAGACTCATTTGTAAAGTACAATTGTTACATTCTTCTAAACAAGTAGGAGGGATGGAAAAACTTAATTCTGCACACGAACATTCTTAAAAATCTCTTTCGTGAGTCACCATTGCTCACCTGTCCATTATCTACTCCACTGAGTCAATCTGCGTCTTCTAAGGGTAACACGACGTTAGCTTGTCATCACGTCCCATCAGTAAATCAAGTGCACTCACCCATTCTCTCTCTGTGGATTCAGTGGGAAGAGTGCGGTCCCTGTCCTCCCTCGTCTGTGCCCTCCTCTCACCTCTCCACCCCACCCTCTCTACCACTTTCCTAGTAAAGCGTGCGTTTTGCAGGCACTGTCTATGCATTGATGAAGCTCTGTGATGTAGTTTTGATTAGGCTACTCAACAATGCCTCGAAAAGGCAATGGCAAGGGGTTGGTATTAGGATAGCTGATGCTGAAATGAGGGGAGTTGATCAGTCGAACAGAACTGGATGAATGATTACTAGGATGTGGTTGGGTGTTGGATGGAGGAGGAGAGTTGAGGTGAATGAATCAATTGAAAGGATTGATGTGTATTTGGGCGAGTGAATCGAGTGGGATGGAGGAGTGGCCTGAGGAATAAACGCATGCCGATTCACAATCACGAGATGGATGGATGGATGAATGAATGAACTCTGAAGTGACTGCATGTCTATGTGATTGGTGGATGCACGGATAGAGAATGAGTGACTGGTTAGAGGGGAATGTTGTTGTACTGATGAATTTGTGCCAAGGCGACGAATGAAGGCTTATGAAGTACAAAAAAGGCTTGGAGTTAAGTAGAAGGAGACGAGCGACTGGAAGTGTGGTTCACCTCCTCATGGACCAAGTCTCACCTACCTATCCAACCCCCGCATCACCTATTGCATTAACTCGCCCCGCTAGGTCTCGGAAAGCATCCGCACACTATTGTGTTCTTTATGACTCAACCGCATATTATTTCCATTAAATTACTTAATGTTTAAGCAAAACTGTGATTTGTTAGCCTATCAATAGAAAAGGTCGGTTTCAAGGCTCGCCAACCTGCATTTCGACATAACTCACTGGAAAACTTATGGGCTTGTATCAGAATTCAGACATCGCCTAGAATGCAAAGTATGTGCAAACATATTTGTCAGTGCGTATAAATAACCGTGGGCTCTAGTTTTGCGTTATAATTGAAAAGTAACTCGGCTCATCACCACAGCCGGCTCTAAGAGTGTACGGACCTGGTGTCGGGGTGTAGGGCCTTGATTACCGGCACTTCGAGCAGGCAGGCTCACGAGGCATCTGCCAACAAATAGGCAAAGCTCACTTCATGGATGTAGTGGCATTGGAAGGGGAAGTGACGATTGGCGCGTCAGTGAAATGCACTTCTTCTTCATCTTACATGCAATTCCTCCAATTGCCTCCCTTTCATTCACTCACTCAATGAGATATTCCATCCTAATATTACTTTTATTTTTCTATGTTACATGTACTTCTCTTCCAGTGTAATTTTTCACTTCAAATTTTTGTTTCACTTCGTCATTTCTCACTCTTATCTCATATCCACTTTTCGTATCTCGGACCCCCTCTTGCTGAATACCAGTTTTCTCATTCCTTTTCTTTAAAATTCAGTTCTTTCCTCATCCGATTTTCATCTTCGCATGCCATCACACAACTTACTCTTTAAAATCACTATTTATTCTCACATTTGCAGGCCTTTTACAAGTGTGATCTCAAAGTATTTGTATTCTTGCAAATTTCATTCGCAACTATACAACCGTCAGTTAGTGTGAAATTATGTAGGCACAAATGTGGAAGATTGCAGGACTCAAGCAGGCATGCATTATACAATGACCATGTGAGAGAACCTCCTGCACATCGTGAGTGAATTGAGGGTGTAGGAGGAAAAGAGCTCAGTTTAGCTTGTCATTCGTCAAAATCTCCCCTCGTTTGTGTCTTTCCTTCACATCAGGATTTAAGCCGATTGGGGACTTGATGAGGTTAGCGCAATGAAAGGAAAGCGCCACCCAGCCACACTGGAAGCACTTCAGTGTGGCCACATCTTAGGTGCCGCTTCTTGACACAGACACCACCTAATAGCAAACCCCTCCAGAGCCTAGTGGCAATGATGGCCATGCTTGAGAGGAGAGCCAGTTGAAATGGGAAGATGTACTGCTAATAGTAATAATAATTTGCGAGGGAATTGCGACATACAAAATTAGTTTGGGAGGAGGTATTAGGAGGTCTCGGTCTCTGCATTTTTGCATTATTAAGTTGGCACTGCACAAGCGACTTGCATTAAAATAGTAGGTACTCCTCTACCCAAACCCACGTTCTCTAACACGAGTGCGTTTGAGTGATAAGAAGGCATGGCCGACTTCAACTTGGAAGTGTGGGACGGTAAACGCGTCGTTTGAAAGCTTCCAAACTGACCACACCCATTCATGCACAGCATTTTGGACCGAGATTTCCCAGTTGATGTACGTGTAAAATGTACATCACTCAATGGCTTTTTGATACTTCAGTCTTGACTTTCATGTGAGTCTTCATGGTGTAAAACAAGGAATCACTCTAAACTCGATGCATCTACTTCTGGGTGATCTCTGGACGTCACGATTCACAACAGCTGCTTTGCCAATGGTTTTACAAAAACAACTTCTATAAAAATTCCCCTGCCTCTGAGTCGAGTTAAAAAGCGCAAAGCTGATGCATTCCTTGTGTTCCCTTCCTGCATACTTCTCCTTCTAACCATTGTCGACTCGTCTTAACCTCAGCCAATCGGCTGTGCCTGCAAGAAGTGTTCAAGACGAATGGTGGCTTAAAAAATTTGCGGTTGTTGGAAAGAGATGCTATCGCAGCACCAAGTGTATCCCATCGCTTTTGACAACTGTTGGCAGACGCACCGTGAGCCTACCTGTTACAAGTACCGTTAATGAAGACGCCAAACAACGACACCAAGTCCATGCACGCATAGAGCAGGCTGTGGTGATGAACCAAGTTACTTTTCAAACATGAAGCAAAACCCGAATGCACGATGATTCAAACGCATTGGCAAATATTTCGCACCCACTCTACATTTCAGGTGATGACCGAATGCGGAAACAAGCCCATAAGTGTTCCAGAGTGTGATGATGAAATGCAGGTTTGCGAGCCTTGAAACCGGCGCATTCTATTGCTGGGCTTGCAAATCAAAGTTCCACTTGAACATCAAACTATTTACTGGAAATAACGTATGAATGAATAATAAAGGACATTGTAATGGACGGATGCTTTTCGTCTTGATTAGGAGATTGTGTATTCAAACGCACAAATACTCACTTTATCTATCAGTTCTAATTATTTTGTGCCTAAATGGTCTCTGGTTATCATTTTCAGGCCACAAATCTTGCGCCACAAATGAAGTGAGAGGAATTAAAAGGGATAAAATTGGTAGAGTGGAGTAAGAAGCAGTCCTAGTGGTGAAGACTCCTTTCATTTATGGAGGGTAACACTGCAAATTAGTCAAGGTGAGTGGCTGCGCGACGGAGTAGGTAACTAGGAGTTGGGAGGTTGTTTTCCTTGTTTGCCTTGTTAGGACAGTTATTTAGAGGAGGCGATACCTCAAGCCGAGTCGAGATAAGTGCAATTGGATGTAGAAGAGAGAGAGAGAGAGAGAGAGGTCTCTTGGCCTGCGTACAGCCACAGCATTTCCACACAAGGAGGAATGTGTTGCTCATTCCATCACCTGGATTGTTGTCAACACTTTGCTCGTCACTCGTTCCTTCTCTATTGTCCATCCACATTTCAGTGCTCTTCATCAGAAAAGAGGAGGTGGTGTGGAGGAAAGTAGTCATTGTCGTGCCCATCGCACCCACTCACATGCACACTTACCCATTCGAACCACCAATGCTTGTGTGGTTAACTTCTACACGATTCTACCCTGTAACATGCAGCGTGACACGTGACAGCACAGCGCACACTCTTCTACAAGTCTTCCCTCAGAGGAGGCCAAAATACGCCGACCCTGTCAGTAGTCCAATTTGACCCACTTACTTGGGTGAAGCACTTTTCGATCAGTAAACCGCACTATTCACATCGCCTCAGCACTTAACCCTGAGAAGCTGGGCAGCCTAGTGCTAAACAATGTATTCATACATGGCTGAAGGAGGTGGACGGTGAGATTCGGTCGCTTGTGAGCTTTCATTCCAATAAGCTGGGCCCGATTTAACACACGCTTTCTACAATGCCGATGCAAACACTTGAGACAAAGAAAGAGGAGTTGTAGCACACGATTAATCCGTATTTCACCATTCCACTCTTTCAGATGGATGTGCACAACATCATAATCGGACATGCAGAAGTGCATCATTGCATACAAATGCAGGCTGAAGGACTTAACAAATGGGGAAATGACCTCTGAATGAATTAAAGGGTATGGAATGCTCTGCTCTGCATTATCAACAAGTATATTTTGATGCCTGAACGACTTCGTGCAAGAAGACGACGTTGTCACATGCTAGAAGGTGGGTGAAGTTGAACCATCCACACTCTCTGCATCGTGGCACACGGGCTGTAGCACTGTTGCTACTTGCGTCTAAAGTATTCCCACCTCTAGCGGGTGAGCTTATGGGACAA